TAGCATCCTATTTATTATATTTGACCCCATTTTACTAGTTTTACATTAATCAGCGGCTGTGATCTTACTGATCTGCCACTGGTATAGTGCCGAGTGATTTGCACGTGATCAGCAGATGTACTTGAATGAATGTCGCAATAGAATATCAAGTTCCAAAGTCAATACCGACTGCAGACTGAAAATAAAAGACACATGATTCTCACTTTAATTTTTTTTACCCTCAAATTCTTATTCCTTCACAATAATCATGGTATTGACTAGCCTTGGTCAATGCTCTATATGCACATGCATGTAAAAATACAGCGCAAACAGCGACCTCATGCGGCCACTATTTTTTTATGCAAATCAGTTGGGGACGATCTCGAGCCTTGGTTCAATTGTCAGCAAAAGCTTATGTTTTTCTTTATTTTGCGCTGGATTTCTAGCGCACGACCTCGTATTTGAATACAAATAAGTGTAGGCGGGGCTAATATGTGGAGTGTCCAATCACACCTTGGTAAATCCGGACGTCATGAAATATATTTGCAGCTTTTCGCCTTTTGCGGACGTGACATGAACCACAGTTTATGTGCATTGGTGCCGTGTGTAGAGACACACAACGTGTAACGTGAATGGATTATGGTGCCATGTTTCACTATGCAAGTTTCCACGCAAAAACAATCGACCAATAACAAAACGACATTTAAGGTCAGCTAAGGCTATTAACATAATGAGCAACACCCCCAAAACCTCACATGGACGATTGAACCAAGGCTCTCGATCGTCCCCAACTGATTTGCATATAAAAATAGTGGCCGCGTGAGGTCGCTGTTCGCGCTGTATTTTTACATGCATGTGCATAGCGCGTGAGGATATACATGTTCATGTATGCCGACGATTGACCGCGTACGGGACGAATAACGACGACAGCATTGACCAAGGCTAAGTATTGACTTGACAGCATAAGAAATTATCGTTGTGAATAAAAATCAAGCAATAATAGTTTCTAAAAAAATATGTTGATTTTTTAAATATAGCTCATCTTAGGCAATTGCTAATTGGTGGCTGTCGTGAATAAACAATCAACTAATAATGAACACAAAAAGTAATAACTTTGATTAAAAAATTAAGTCAAAGCCTGTCACTTTAGCATAGTTCTGCGTTGCAGATAACGTTTGCATGAGCAGAGGAACAAACAGGGTCTAGAACAGCTTTATCATATTACAACCTAAACTTATGGTAACAAGACAATGGGCATTTCAATAATTATTCTACTGAAAACAATCCTTCAAAAACACACAGTTTTCTAATGATAACCAAGTTAACACGATTTTTTAGACGATTTTTGTTACTAGACCTTCATCATATTACAACTTAAACTTATGTTAACAAGACAATGGGCATTTCACTAATTATTCTACTGAAAACTATCCTTCAAAAACACACAGTGTTTTAATGATAACCAAGTTAACACGATTGTTGAGACGATTTTTGTTGATAGACCTTTTACGTATAGCAGCCATCTTGGAGGGCAATGTCTTTGCTTTTTCTTGGATATGCATGAGTGAACCATTGGTGCATTCATTGTTACTGAATGGATCAAACAAAGATGCTCTCTAAGATGGCCGCTACGCATAATTAAGGTCCATTGTGCAAACGAAACTATCAACCATACTCAAGAGCTCTACAGAAAATAACTTGAACGTTACAGCAATGGGATTTGAGCAAAATAATACTATTATCCATTTAAAAACCAACTTTTTCGCCACATCATAGATTTCAACATCTTTTATCATGATTGCAGGCGCGGATGGGGGGGGGGGTTCACCCCCAGCTCTGTCCAAAAAAACAATCATACAAATGCCTAAAAAATAACGCTACCCCCCCCCCCCCCCCGCTGTGACACCCAAAAAGAAATTATACTGGTATAATGTCCGCCTGTTCGAAATACGGTACACCATTCTGTAATCTAGTGTTAATAATCGTCGAATTTGAATGTTAATGAACCGTGTATATTCATGATTACAACAATGCGATTGCAATTTTCCATCAATCAATGAACGGTATTAACGAATAACAGCAAGTGCACACTTTTTAAAGTAAATACTTTTTTACATTCCACTATTATTTACAGTAGGCATTCAAAGGTGATGGACATCATTAATATTGCCCCTCAAACCAGTATTTGCTGCCTTTTCAAAGAACAACAATACAACACATCAGCAGTATTAAACAAATAGCGTATCTAAATTTTAGCTCGGAATAAAGCAAACTTTTTTATAGGAAACTGTGAAAAAAATCTACATTTTCTCGACGCAAGGCAAGGTTTCCGTTGAAATCCATCCGTTCCAAAATGTTTAATAACAAGTTTTGACTTGCGCCCTCCTCTAGTTTGATTTCGATTTGTCACTCAGGAAAATCATTCTTTAATATGTAATAATAACAGACATTTGTAACCGATTGCAAACTAAACAATGTTCTGTCGATTTGGTGCAGTATTTGAAGAAAAAAATTTTTTTTTTCTTTTCTTGAAATTAACAACATAACCGCAATGATTTCACAGACTGCTGATCCTATTGTTGACCTACTTTATAACTTTTTTGCCAGTTTCGTTTGTGAAAGATTGCAAATGTTGTTCAGTCTAGTTCTATATCCGATATTCATTAACTACGAAAATCAATACTACAATGCGTTTGCAATGTTAATCAATCAATTCTGTACTACAAGATTATCCTACAACAATACAATGATACTTTTGCTTTCGCGTGCTTATATTATTTATAGCAGAGCATTCAATGGGTATATTATGACCCATGTATTAATATTATACAGATGACAATCAAGTGCCAGTATTCAATAAACGACGACCTTATAATATATGCTGCGTTAATTTCCCCACTATGTTCCCCAATGGTTTTGATTGAAAAGCAATTGTCATGGTTAATCCTGCTTGCTTAGACAATGTCAATTTTATATTGTGTTTAACTATAGGCCTATACAAGGCCCCCAACGCAAAATCGGGTCTTATTTAAACACTTTTTTTTTTCTGAATTATCCTATTAAACAAGTAGCAAAATTCAAGTAAGGAGCTGGGAAAAGGCCATTTAACAAATCAAATTAGTTTTATAAACTTGATCTTTTTAAAAAGAAGGTTTGTAAAATCTGACGTAAGAATGATTGCAAGAAATTGTTCCGCTGTGATTGTGACCTTTTAGCACTTCCGACAAGTTGTACATTTTTCACTCTGGTTGTACTATATCTCTAGCTACCTCTTCGATGCACATGTTCTACTTTTTTCTCCTGCTTTACAAAATTTACATGAATTGTCAATATTAGACTGCGACCCAAGCCTTCTTTTAAATTTCAGTTGCAATATACTCTTGTATATTTCTACTAATGTTTGTTATCATCCTTACAACACCAACCGTCAATTCTCGTCGAACCATGGGCCTTTTGGTTGTGTCGCTGTTCGCAAATAATTCGTCGCATCACTCCCTGATGTATTCCTTACCACCAGATCAATTGCTGTAGAATTTCACGAAGCTCTGGGTATGACAGATATAACACGAAGAGGAGACCTGTAAATTTAAACGAATAAGTCAACATTGGTAAAGCGATTCACATTTCGTTGTGCATCTTTCGTTGTGCATCTTCAAGCCCTTAAAATCGACTATTTCTATCTGCAAAAGGTACGCTTTCGTATACATGAACAAGTATTGCCCCGTACAGCCATAATCCGGTCCTTTGTGTATTCATAGAACATGAATAAATGACTGAAACGACTTTCAGTTACGGATCTACGGAGCATGGGTTATTCTATTGTATTGTTTCTTTTATTTTTAAAGCACATGTATGCCTGCTACCCCCTTCCCCGAAGAGATAAAGTGATCAATAGCCAGTGGCACATGCCTGTTTATCCCCCCCCCCAAGTTACCTCCCCTTGAGCCAAAGCTGGATCCGCCCGTATATCGATAGCCCTTTAGAAGTAATTAAATAAAATTGTGTGCACTCTGAGCCAAGATTTTCTACGCTTGCCCTGTCTTGCTGTAATTTAATGTACACTTGCAAGTGGGTCAGTCTGTAAGCCAGCTTTAAACCCTAACCTATTTCGAGGGTAAAACCACAATTCCGAGCTGCTGCTGCGGTTATCTGCGCACTGTGGCTATCTTCGTATCGACGGCGATTTCTATCATAGTCCCTGGAGTTATTGATCCTAACTCTGTCACTGCCGAGAATCTCGGGCTTTTGACTGGCTAGCTGCAAACGCACTGACCGGCGTCTTCTTTTTGGAGAATACCGCCCCTCCTTCGAATATACCGAAATGGATGACAGACAACGTGCCTCATCCCTAATACCGCAGTGTGCGTACACATCGCCGCAGTCGAATCCCAAGAAAAAGACGAATACCAGTCACCCTCAATCCCAACTATTTGACATGTCTCGTCCTTCTTATGGTGGTGCAGTATTTCTGATCACACAAAAGGACAAATTCTTTGTTCAGCGATGATTCCCGCACTCTGTTAAGTTCCTCACAGCACTGTTGACGCCGGGGTTATTTCTAATCAGGGCATGATTATTGACTTGGTTCAATGCTTTCCAGAGATCATGCGTGCTAATGCTGCACTGAAATCCTGAAACAATGCGTTGCGTGTATTGCAACATCGACGAAAATTCCAAAACTCCGTGGGCAAAATATCGACCAGATCTGACACGTTTATTATTATTTGTGTAAAAGGGGGTTAAACAGCTGTGTGCTGAATGCTCAATAGATCATCGCAAACAAGTGATCTCAAAAACACACACACAAAACATAAAAATCACAAATTGTTTCATTTTGGATTTGTGCTCATCTTTTTATTGTATTGATGTAAAGGATCAATTTGATTACTTGTCAAAGTAAAATATGGTTACACTCGACTCAAGTCTGACCATTTGTATATTGTTTTCCTTTAATCGCTATGGATTTTTTTCCTTCAAAAGGTGTCCCTTAACTTGACCTATAATGAACCATTGCAAGTGTATCAGTTAGCTAACTTGAGATACTTACATATGAATATCAAGACAGCAATTGTCACGAGAACCCCGATCCCACACCGGAGCCCAGTCTTTTGCACTGCTTCAGCCTGCGCACTGTGAGGTTCGTGGTATCGACAAAGATTAACAAAATGCTCGCAGTTGCTGTCGAGAAGATGGTAATCAATCGACGTTTTGTCACGGTGCATTTTCTTTGCTAATCCAATGATGTCGTTGGGATCCAGATGCTTTACTGTGTGGTCTCTTGAGTTGTTGATCCTCACTTTCCCGGAACCGCCGAGAATCTTTCCAATCGTGTCAGCTCGTATCTCTGGCTTTTGACTGGCAGCAAACGCACTGCCTGATATCTTCCTTTTCAAAAATGCCGACCTTCCTGTGGGCATACTAAAATGGATGACAGCATGTTCCTCACCGAGGTATCGCCCGACATATATACCCCAGTGTGCGTACCAGTAGTGGTCGAACTCCAGCCTATCCCCGGGGCACACCTCGTCTTCCAAGTCTGCGATGTTCTTAGAGGTAAACCACTTGCCCTTATTCCCGAAACTGTTTTCTACAAAAACTTCGCCACTCCAGTGTTCGCGGTCGCTGTCGAGAAGGTTGGCATCTATCGGTGTTCTTCCTCGCTCCATTATCTTTGCCACTTTTACGATGATGTTGGGTTCAGTATTTCCGAGGTAGGAAAATCTAACACGTCTGATCAAAGGAAAAGCCCAACGTGGAGCTCAAAGTTGCTCAAGTACTCGAGGAAGTAGTGATTCCCATTCACACTGGTTCCTGCTCCCTGCATTATCGCTTGTTATGGAACACATGATCATGTACTTGTTGCAGGCGTAAATCCGGCCGTGTTCCGCGTAACAGATCGTTCAATATCATTCACACGTGGACGATTCTATTATACTGGCAGGGGTGGAGCTGTAACTGCAAGCTAACAAAATAATGTTTAAACAAAATGTACCATTCCCCGTAATAAGTGGATATGTTGGGGGGGGGGGGGTACGGCGACAAACCCAATGATCTCCGCCCCCTCCCCCGTCTCTGCCCCCGCCCCCTCCCCTCCCCCTCACAATGATCCCCCACCCCTCCCAATGATCCCCCTCCCCCAAATATATCCCCCTCCCAATATCTCAGTCTCGGAATCATTTCATACAAGACTTTCATGCAAGACGGCCAGAGCTTATTGTGCACTCGCACTTTTTTTTTTGCCTGCACAGGAATTTCCAATCGGTATAGACCCTGTCGTTTGCAGCATAACACAGACACAATACGACCAAATGCTAAAAATAAACGTCCGTGACCCCACGTTCATTCACGCCCTGAACTTGCTTTTGTGATACTCTTTTGTGTTAAATCCGAGTGTCAGACAGAGCCCCGGTGTACAAGGGTCTCTGAAAGGCGGCTAGTTCCTTAAAAACCGGTTTGTTTTATGGAAGTGTACCTTGTTTGCTGCAGTTTTGCTAAAATCATTTGTACTCGTATGATGGACTATTATGGTTCTTTGAAAATGATAGACAGCAGAGTGCTGTTTCTTAAAAAAAAAAATATTTATCAAAATTTAATATATAAAAAATTAATTAAGTTTTTAGATCTCCGAAGGAAAATAATCAGTATCAAACTCTTTTGGTCTTGTTAATTAATTATACCAAATGTACCCAGCGAATGTTCGAACATTAGGCCTACCGCTGAACTTTAAATTGTGAAAATAATGGGACGCAAAAACTTGTTCCGTTTTTCTTTAAAATTAGCCCGACTCTCGGTCAGCAGGGTACACATTTCCTGATTTCTTTCTCTTTTTGCTGACTCTCCTAAACTGCAAAATGGTCTCGGGTCCATGCTCCATGAGTTTGTAAACTGCACATTTGCAACTATTATTTGCAAGGGGTGTCCATGTTCTGAGACTGACATTTGTTTGAATTAAAACGTAAGGTGAACACTGAGCTGAGGTGGCCAAAGTATTTTAGTGAGGTACCTTAGTGACGAAAATGCCAAGGATCGTGACACGGAAGACAAAAGCACCATTTTTTCACCAAAGCATCTCCATAGTATACCTTTTCGAAAAAAAGACGGACGCAAACAATTGGATGATGGGAAGGCATGTATGACGTCATTATGACGTCATCAGCTAATTATTACATGAAAAACATAAATTGATAATATCTTCAGAACGACAAGCATCACAACAACAAATGTGGTATCAAATTAAAGGGAACAACAAGATCTTTTATTTGAGTGGTATGTCAGTGGGATGGAATGTAGTACAGGGTGGGTTTTTTGCCAAAAATCCCTTTTTTGGTAAAAAAATACAAAATTGGTGCTCAAATCATGGATTTGGGGAAATCATTTTAGCACCTTGTTTTAACATGCAAACCGTAAGTGGTATTGTGAGTTTTGGTTCTTAAGTCAGAGAGAATGGTTCAAATACTATGCCAAGAGAGTTTTCGTAATTGATTATTGGTATCTTAAATGTTTAAACTTATTCCAAAGATAGGCGGACAAAAAAATGTAACATAAGTTACAGTCGGGTGCCCATCCCAGTGTATCTAAGTTACAGATTCATCACATGTCTCGTTGTCGAGCTTGGAGGGGTTGGGCAATCTGCCGGGTGCATCTGCGATCACCATCATAGCACCAGGTTTGTAGACATGTCGAAGTTGTATCCTTGTAGCTTAAAACGCTGCAAGCGGTGTGGCGTACTGTCTAGGATTTTGCGCCAGATCGTAATCATTGGTTTTAATGTTCAGTGACAACAATGAAGTTGGAGCCGAATGAAGTTGCAGCAGTGCCACAGCTTCCTTCTCGATATTCGAGAATATGCTCTGGGAAGAGGATCTATAGGCTCTTTGAGGAAAATGCGATGGGTTTACCTTCCTGGGTGTTGCCCAATCCTCTTTCAGATGCATCTACTTTGATGATGGTTTCTATACCTGTGTGTCGGAGAATCGTCGCCAGGACTGCGTTGAGATAGAGTGTTTAAGGGTTGTAAAAGAAGCTTGATGGTCCTCTTCCCAGAGAAATGGTACATCTTTTTGAAGAAGATCGCTGAAGGGAGCAACTTTGTCTGCGCAATTTGGGGTGTAGTGTGAGACATTGCTATCTATGCTAAGGAACCAGCAGTTTCCATCAGGGCGATGAGACATTCGACCGCTCGTCATGCTCTTCAAGGGAGACCGAATACTGCAATGTCGTCGCGGTGATTGTTCCAACGCATCAAGGCATCTAGCTATTTTGCCATCAATATTTTTGGGACTATTATCTTGGCTTACTGATAAGCCGATGAATGGGCGACGAAAGCTGTTAACAACCAAATTGTATGTTGTCAGTTTTTCAGACTGCCATGGATGAGCAGACCAATACCCTGCCTTTGACGTCTAGATTGGAGGAGAACCTTTCCAGTGCAAATTCTGCCTTGAGCTCCTCAAGAGTGGGGATCTTTAGAAAACATTATGTTTTTAACTGCTTGGGATCCGGACACATCCTGAACGGGCCGTCTTTTTTGGGCAGTTGCTGTGATAGAGCTGCACCCGTCCGTGTGATGGGAGACTTTTCGTATGACCCAGCCTTTCTCAGTCTTTTTCAGCTCGGCCTGCGGTTTTGGTTTGACATGAAAGCTGCACCTATGGGACTGCATGAGTATCTGGCTTGAGGTGTAGGAGAGCGCGTATCTAAGTCGTCGAAAGTATCAAACTGCGTTGGGAGCCGGTCCTTCAGGTCTTGTATGTCTCTCACCGGAGCAAGGGGGGATGCAGAACAAAATTTTTGGAGGGTTCCAAAAGAAATTTGGTCCCCCAAAAAAGTGGGTCCAAAAAATTACGGCGTGGGGTTCGGGGCCCGCAAGGGCTCCGAAAATTTTTTGGATTCTAGATGCTCTGTGGTGCGATCTGAGGCAAATTCTGACCACTTTAACCAATGTTTTTTTGAGGAAAAGATAATGGTGTACTCATTGCCTGCCTTTATTGCGATGTCACATAAAAAAAAATGGTTTCGTTTTTTTTTTGGGGGGGGGGGTGGGGGGCAAGGCCCCCTTTGCCCCCCCCCCCCCCCCTGGATCCGCCCTTGCACCGGAGTGGTAGTGGTCAGCCCTTTGGTTCCTGTGGGGGCCTGAGGCTTTGGGGGCAGTGTGCCAGTGTAGATTTTGACCAAGTGTAGGGTGCGGCTCGTAGGGTACGTGCGGCTCGTATAGTAGGGAGCCCATTGATAGCTGGTCCTGGCTCATTGACCACTTGGAACTTCTCACGATGCCAGTCATTCTGCTTGTATACCCATAAGGTGTATCGAACAATGGCAGATGATTCCGGAAACATTATATGCCTTCATTGGGAGGGTTGGTTTCTCCAATTGTCTCCGATTTTTGACGCATCAACGAACTGGTAAGGTATTTGCACTCGATTTTCTGTTAACCTCGTTGCAGACATGTTGCTAGAGATGATCCGGACAGTGTTCGGCGGTGCTCAGCTGTTGTGCACATCATATGTCCGATGCTGATAAGGTAATGGAGTTGAATGTTTTTGATGACTTGGGGACATCCAATCTTCTGCAGTAGCCTGAAGAGGCCTTTTCTACTGACGAAGGTCAGTACATCGGTCGTCGCTGCTCTCGGCACTTCTCCTGGAGCTGCCGTAAGTCGAAGACAATGGAGAAGATAATGTCGATCTTTAATCTTTCAGCTCCGAACCCGCACTGCCTCTCAGGCTTTACGCGCTCAGCTAGCAGCTGCGATCTGTTCTGCACTACAAGGGCGAAGGCCTTCTTAACGATACCGAGGAGGGAGATTCCTCGTGTTGCACAGATCTGGGATTGACGTCCTGGCGATGTTTGAAGTATGGCCGTCGTTTTTGCCTTGAGCGGTGGATCTGTTTATTTGGGAGTGGTCTGTATTACAGTCAGCGCTGCGTGTGATGAGAACGCAGTTTCGTGAGGGTCTTCCTGTGATGATGAGATGAAGCTGAAGCCAGTGACGGGATCTGAGGTGCTTCTGCAGCCTCTGCCCATTCTCAGTTAGCTTGCCAATGCCAACGTGAGCGAGCGAGTTGTGGTCAGATCCCACTCGGGCGTTGAACTCGCCAAGGAGGTACAGTTGTTCTACTACAGGGATACCTCTGATGGTGGTGTTGAGGTCCTCGTAGAACTGGTACTTAGGATTTTATTGGAAGATGATAATGTTGAGACGCTGTGCTATGCAATGAAGTACTTCAGTGGAGATAGGGCTGCTCATTTCTCCATTTCACCCCAGCACATCCTAACCGATTTGACCCCAAATGGATTAGGTTTACTCCTGAATTATTCTGATTGTTTAAGGGCGATTCCACGACAACTTTACATTTTCAGGCACTTTGAGACGCAAAAAGGAGTCTCACCACTAAATGCATTGGTTTCAAAAATCAGATAGTCAATTTGAACATGATGAATACTAAGTGGTAAGCTTTTATTTGTGGGCTGTTGCACAACATTTTTAGCTTTTTTACTTTGGTAATATAAAAAGAACGTAGGCCTATGCATGATTTGTTGGAGGTCTTGATTCACAAGTCTCCTCAAACTGGACATGCATTGATAAAAGTAATGCATACCATCTATTTGCTGGTAACTAAACTATGTATTAGGCATCTTAAGTCCCATTTTGGCCCATACCCTAAAATGGTGATAACTTTCCTTACGGTAACTGCAGTTTTCCACCTATCTTAGGAACAAGTGTAAGCATTTAAGGTACTAATAATCAATTACAAAAAATAATAATCAATTGCAAAAACTCTTTTGGCATAGAATTTGAACCTTTTTCTCTGACTTAAAA